AGCATTAAAAAGACTGGATCATCTATTAAAGTGCAAGAGATAAAAGACCTAAGTTAACGTCTTTCATCTTGGTTCTTTCATACTATTATCTTCTTGTCTCATCTTATATTGACCATTTAAAAGATATTTTGATTTTTGGTATTGAACTCCTATGTCATCTCTGTCATTCTGATTTACATTGCATTGAATGACTTCCATGTTTTTACTTTTTATTTTTCTGGGTTGTTTTCTTGGTATTGATTGGCCTGTTCATTCTCAATATCACCATTTTTGTTAGAAGTGAAAGAGTCACATTTTCTCCCCTTCTTGTTGTCCCAAAATAGACAAGCCACATAGTTATGACTCTTGGGAATTTTCCTGATGCAAAGGTTTGGAAAAGTAGACCTTGTGTCCTCAGCTTGCATTTTAGTCTCTCAGACTCAGGTCACCCAACTGACACTTTTGGTCTCTTAGGAAAGCTTTTGCTTCCCAGCGCTTAAAAGTCACAGAAATAACTTCCTTCCCAGCACTTAAAAGTCATAGTAATAACTTTCCACTGATGTTTGGTTCACTGTTCCCTTTGAAGTATCTTTCCTGTTGACTCCTAGTGGAGAATGAGTGATTGCCATCGAATAGTTAGGATGCTTTGCAGGAAATACCAGAAGTGTGCCAGATTCTGCTCTGTGCTGTACAACAGGCTTTGATCATCTTTATTTTCAGATGTTAGTACCAATGTTTGAGTCATGGGTGGATAGCTACAAGTGACACCTCAGCTTCGTCAACGTGTGTCTTAAAATCCATGTGATTAATGGTGATTGTTTTAATGTGAAATGAATTTTAAGTATGTCCTGGCATTCCCCCCTCCTTTTAGCATCCGTCCTGTCTCTTCTCCTCTCCCCCATCCCTACACTGCTTTCTTAATTAAATAAGACTGAAAATACTATCTGACGATTAAGAGGAGAAACACCCAGAGCTCTTACTCTCCTAAACAACTACTTTTATTTTTCATGTAATATTGCCTTAACCTATGTATTACTGTGATTAAAATAATATTTGGAGTGATTAAAATTAAAGGCAGTTTGTAAATTTTAACCTTGACAGATAATGTGCTGTAGGACTAGTTGTTGGGTCAGGTTGAGTATGAGAAACCTGAGCCAGTTAAGTCTGGCTGCTTTGTCTGTCATTTCATCCAGGGCAGGGCCTAGACCCTCCTTCAAGAGTCCAGGCTGAGAGTGCATCTCTCATTGTGGGATGGGCACCCAAAGTCCATTTGTATGCCAGGGGTAAATATTGATCTACTACCCAAGGCCCTGTAGATAGCCTAGGCCTCCTCACTGACACCCACATTCAGGGGGTCTTGATCAGTCCCATGCTGGTTTCCCAGGCATCAGTCTGGGATTCAAGAGCTACCCCTTGTCAGGTCAGCTGTTTCTGGGGGTTAAACCAGCCCAGTCTTAACCCCTTTGCTCATCAGTCCTCCATCTCTGTCACTGGGTTCCTTGAGTTCAGCTCAGTGTTTAGCTGTGGGAGTCTGCCTCTTCTTCCATCAGCCACTGAATGAAGGTTCTGTTTCCCAGACTCTCTGGCCATGGGATTGCAGGCTGGCACTCCCCAGATCTATGTCTAAAGTCCATAAATGAGAGAGTACATGCCATGTTTGTCTTTTTGTGACTGGTTTATCTCACTTAGGATGGTTTCTTCTAGTGCCATCCATTTGCCTGCAAATTTCAGGATTCCACTGTTTTTTTCTGCTGAATAGTACTACATTGTGTAAATGTACCACATTTTCTCTATCCACTCTTCAGTTGAGGGGCATCTAGGTTGCTTCCAAGTTCTGGCTATTACAAATAATGCTGCTAAGAACATAGTGGAACAGACATCCTTGTTGTATGAATGTGCATCCTTTGGTTATATGCCTAAGAGTGGAATTGCTAGGTCTTGTGGTAGACTGATTCCCATTTTTCTGAGGAATCTCCATACTGTTTTCCAAAGTGGCTGTACGAGTTGGCACTCCCACCAGCAGTGGAGGAGTGTTCCCCTTTCTCTATAACCTCTCCAGCATAAACTGTCATTGGTGTTTTTGATTTTAGCCATTCTGACAGTAGTTTACCTGGTACATGGATATTTTCACTTAACATGAATATTTCCCCGTGTGTGTGCTTTTACCTTTTTAATTCAAAAATTGGAATGCTTTATTAATAAAGTAATATCTTGAGAAAGATGAAAATCACTGAGTGCCACTCATTGCAAGCTAAAAGCTTGATGTACGGAGAGATGGGCATCAGCACATCCAGTTAACAAGGGTCTGTGTCTTTCTGCATGGAGAGGATGAAAGTCTACACACCATCCTCAGGTACCCATATAGAGTGATGGGGACATCATATTCTTTGGATTCAAGCCAGGCTGACTACTCTGATCCCACCAGTTTCCCTCACCATGTGGTGCTGGTTATAATCATGCAACCTTCTGACTGCTGGAATGAACAGTGCCTGCCAGTCAGGGCTGCTCTAGGAAATGAGATGACAAATCAGTCAGTATTCATATGCCTGACCCATTGTCTGGATGTGTTAGGCACAGGATAAATGATGGAAGAAACCTAAGATCTGTACTTATAAAATTTAAGCACACATTGTAGACAACATCTTACAGCCATAATAAATCCAGACAACTCTTAAAATATTTATTTGTATATTTATTGTTTTCTCTTCTGCTTGCAAAAATATTACTGCCAAAAAGGGAATGGAAAATGATGAGAAAGTGATCCTGCCTTGCATGTGCTCTCCTACAGTGCAGCAGCCTCAGCAATGGTCACTTCAGTCAATAAATCCTTTCTGAAGGCTCATGACCAGCCTGGGTTAGGTGTCAGGGCTCACTGGAGAGCTCCAGCCTGGGTTAGGTGTCAGGGCCCACTGGAGAGCTCCAGGGGACATTTACATGCTAAAGAAGTGCCGTATGGCTTTTAATGAGTATGAGTTTGAAACAAATATTTTTACTATCCACTTAAAAATTACGGAATGTAAATAGCTTCAGTGAGTTCCATTGTGGGTAGTGGGTTTGAAAGTCTAAATTCTGAGTGCTTAAAGTTGCTTTTAAACAGTTGTGTGTGTGGGGGGCACTTCCCTTGCATCTTACGAGGCGGTGATACTGAGCGTGGGAGTGGGGATGTACCACAGTGGTAGAATGCTTACTTACCTAGTGTGCACAGACCCCAGGTTTGATCCCCAGAACTGAAAACCAGTACAGGGTGTGTATAAAAGAATCAGCTTTGAGGCAACTTTCTAATCTTTCTTTCCAAATAAGACTGCAAAGTAAGAGGAGTCCATTCATGTCTAATCCTAATTCTGGAGGGTGAGAGATGGTAACACATTCCAAATGAGAACGTTGGTAGGGCAGTGGTAAGTGCTGTAATAGATATCCATTTGTTATTAGGCAACACGATACAGGGTCTCTCCAAGGAAATGATTTTGTGCACATCTTTTAGGAGGAGTTCAAATCTACGGGAAGGAATGCCTACAATTCAGATGTAGAAGTTACCACTACTGGTCAGAGTACATAGTTCAATGCCATGCAGGACAGGAAGTTAAGTGTGTGGCAAGGGGAGGAGTGGAGGGTGAGCCTGGAACTACTGGTCTAAAACTGTTCACTTCTTGAGAAGATGGCATCATCATTTCTATTTCAGAGAAATGGTGAGAATGTAGTATAATGAGCAGAAGCAGAAACAAGAGCAGAACCAGTCAATATAAAATAACAGTTTCTGAAGCGCAGAGAATTCATTCAAGTGAATCCTTGCTGAAGTTGGGTCGTATATAGGAGAGTGTGTGCAGTCTATTCTCCTGCAGAAATGGATTAACAGAATAAATGCATGGGATAGAGTTAAATCTCCATCATGACTTACCTCCACAATGTTGAAGCTCGTCATGCCTCTATAGATCACCAGTGCTCCCTAAGCTGCCACCAGCTACCACTGATCTGTATAAGGTTAGGTTTGCCGAGGTTAAGCTTCATAAAATAGCCAAAAGAATGTATGTATTTACAAAGTAAATGTCTATGTATTATATATTTTATATGTGGTTCTCTTTCAAACTTACAATGGTGGCAGGTGCTCTAGTGGCCATCACACGAGGAATCCTCAGGCAAACAGAAGCAAAAGCTTAGGTCTAGACGGTTCCTGCATTGTTTTCTCATCACTGCCACCTGGATTTTCTCAGTAAATGGGGAATTTGAAAGTCAGGTTTCCAGAGGTTTCCAGAGGCAGCCTCATCACTCTCTCCACATCTGCCTCATCTCAGACAGCGCCTCTCTCCTTGTCTAGTGTCAACGCTCAGTGCGTTTCCTGCTCTCACATAAAAGAGTTTTCAAAGGGCTCCACAGGTGGCTCAGAGCCTCTTCAAGGGCCCCTCTGAAGGATGAAGGACGGCATCCTGCCAGTTCAGCCTCTTGAAATAGCACCTTTGCTTTTCTTTGCATGACAGTTGGCCTATTGGCAAGACTTTTGAACAAAAGGATCCTAACATTTCAAAAACTTGAATGCCACCAACCCAGACATGTCCTGAGGTCCTCTACACTCAAGCATGTTTCCACATCTATAAAATGGAGGTGACAGCTCTTGCTTAGGTGGCTGGAGGGTCATCCAGACACTGTGTGTGAACGAGCATGTGGAACATGGGGGACATTTAATGTGTTAGCTGTTATGGCTCCCACCCCACCCCCAGCAGGTTTCATTCAAATAAGCCTGCATGTTCTATGACTGTTGTACTTTGAATATTAAGTGATTACCTGAAAAAACAAAACAAAACAAACAAACAAACAAAAAAGAGTCATCAGTCTCCTTTATGCCAAAAACAGCATAAAAATGTCTTGGATGTTTACCTTGTTTTTTCGACATATTTTTATTTCTACCTTTTATATATTCTCCACATACACACACAAGACAAAACAATGAGTTTTCCTCTTATGTCATATATTTTTTAAAGTAATTCTGACCATTCACTTATGAAAGTTAACGTATCTGTGTGTTTCAGGCTTGCCAGCTCATGGGAAAGTGACATCAGTGTCCACCCTTTAACCCTGCCCTCTGCAACCTGCCTGGAGCTGCTGCTGATACTGGCGAGGAGCAATGCCTCACTGCCTCTGTCCCTTCGTCAGATGAATTCCTTTCAGGTAAGGAATATCTCCTTAACTAGGATGATTTTCAAAGATCCTGCCATTCACAGGGAAGAAGCCATGGAAAGCCACAGCTTCAAAGGACAATAATAAGGACCACGACGCATGTGCCGCTGTGTTCTCTTCAGTAAGTGCCTTGTGCGGACTCAGGATTCCAAGATTATCTGTCTGTGGCAGAACCCATAGCTTTCCAACTCCGGGTCCTAACCTCTGAAGGCTTCTCTAACATACCTGAGCTTGACAGAGTTCCGAGCATTGCAACCATAGTGCTGACAGATAGTACCTGTTCCCGTTTCCTTCTCCTTGCTATAAACTGTTAGATTATATTCCTGCAGCTAGCTCCCAAGGTCTGTTCCCTTATTTGGCCACCGTCTTGCTCTTGAGACAAAACACCAAGATCCAATAACCAAAATTCATCATTTGGCTAATATGTACAATCAGGATTACTCACTCTAGTAGACTCCCCCTTTTTCTCCTTAAAAACCCCCTGCTGTGAAAACCACCTGCTTTGTTTGCTGCTGCTGTTTGCTGTCTGCCTTTGCAGCCTCCACCCCTTTTGCCCCTTGGGAGATAAATCTTTGTGCTGAGAATTCAGTGTCTGGGCGTGTCCTATACCAACTCCTAGGAGGCCGACCTCCCTTATAGCCTCCATCTTTCCTTTCTCCCAGCTTTGACTTAGGGTAAAAACATCAAGCCAATTTTTGTGGCTCTGATAATGGTAAGCTTGAAGTCAGATGCTGACTGGGTGTTCAGTTTCAGCAGGGGTAGAAAATCCATGTTCTCAGCATGGTTCTCTCTCCTGAACCCCTGCCCCCCCCCCTCAGCCCCTTAGTCCTTCTCCCCTCCATGGGTAGTTATTTGTATATGCTCCCTGCTGCTCATGTAGACCAAACAACAGGGATACGCCTTCCCTAGCGGCCAGCAAATTGTCACCTGAGGTGGCAAATGAGACTTAAGGATAGGGATTACGTAATGGCTTGTGTTGTGACCCTAAAGTTTCTGAATAAAACTAAGTGTATCTCTTTGGTTTATGACAATAGAAAAATACCCATAAGCCCTTGGATGCTGATGGGAGAGGCACACGGTGCAGGGAAGAGAGTGCAGGTAGAGTTGGCAGTTCTAGTGAAGCGAGGGTTGCTGGTGTGTTCTAGGGCAGTGTCAAGGGTGACAAATGCGACATGACAAAACAGGAAATGGATCAAAAACAGCTGCCCCAGTGTAACTTAATCCATATCCTCTTGGGAGTGTGTCGTATCAGTTGTCTCTGTGATTTGCATCCTTTGTCTGAACTTTGGGTGCTGACAAAAAGTTTAGACTCTGGCTTTTGCATGCCCGTGTCTCTGTTGTTAGCCACCGTCAATCCTATACTCTCACAGGGACTTTAAAGAGCACCCTCTCCTACAGGAGGGAAACCTGAGCCAGGAATCTCAGGTCTGCTGAAGACCGGACTGAAGCTGTCCTCCCCAACCCCCGACTTGGCTGAGTGCTGGCTGACATGCTGTCAGTGGCATGGTATAGGGACAGGTGGGTTGTATCTACCGGGGTGTCCTCACACACTCTCTAGTTTTGCAGTAATATTAAATTTACTTGTATACCACATTGACTCAGAAGTAATTTAAAATTCTGTAATCAGTCCATGTAATGAGTGATATAAACACTTATATATAGGCACATCCATTTATGGAGAGAGGCACAAGAAACTTCACAGCTATTATTTCAGGGAAGCAGCATTTGTATTTTATTCTCTTCTCTCCCTCATGTACCACTTGAGGTTTTTATATCAGGTGATGGTCCCCATTTGTAGACTTTATGGCATATTGGAGGCAGGGATAGGACAGTCTTTTGTGTGTGATATAAACTGAGAATAATCTGAAGTCTTGAGGAGTTTAGAGGAACCAGAGTAGTCTAAATAGAGGTTGAGGGATTTGAGAGAGGAAAAAGATACTTTCTCTACTTTCACCCTTTAAGAGTGGCATCTCAGTATCATAGAAAACACAGGTGTATGGAAGGGCATCACTGTGCTCTCAGCATCTCTAAAGAGAGGAGCCCCCAGAGCTGTCAGGTCATCAGTGGCCAGGTCCCTCCCATGGACACCCTGCTTCTGTTTTGCTGAGTGATTGTCACAGAACATGAGAAACTTGACAGAATCGTACAAGCAATGTCCCGCAAAGTGACATCCCCGACCTTATCTCAGCAAAGATGGATGATGTATTCTTACCAGGAGCATTCTGGGAATGGCTCTTTTCAGTGGGCCTGCACACCACAGAAAGCATCAGAGGAAGCAGAGAAGGTTTCTGGCAGCGCTGGAGAGAAATGTTCTCCATTTCATCAATGTAACATCTACTTAGTCATTTCTGATAATTGAGAGAAGAGTCACCAGTTCTGCCTGTATTTGAGACTGATTTTAATTGGAAGTTCACTTTCCCACACATCTTCTCTAAGAGCTGTTTTAGCAAGAGCTGTAAACTAGAATGACACTCGTTAAGACAACCCTCCTTACCTTCCAATTCTCTTACTTCCCATGCTGATGTAGTGACTGAGCAGAGCTGACTTTTCTCTCTTCAGTATAGCTTCTCTCTTTTGGTGGAAGTGTCACAACTCTGGCTTCCCCTCTGCTCTGTGACAGCACTTTGATCTCCCCAGTGTGATTATCTGCAAACAGAATGAAGAGTGCATTAAGAATCATTTCACTTTAGTTATTTTGGAGACCCCAAGAAGAGGATGGGCATAACCACTCCCTACATAGAATTCTCCCATGGCTTCCTGTTGATAAAAGGGAACACAAGCCATAACAAGCTATTTCCGGCCACAGAATCAGTGTACCGATTGTTTTTCCAGCTATTAGGAGAGTACTCTGTGCCAGGTCTTTTAGCATGGCTAGTTCTCTCTGGCTTTCCTTGGTCTCAGCTCATGTGTCCCCTCCCACAGGAGGTTAACCTGACTCCCTCCCTAAGTTTCCGTCTTCTTATCACCGTTATTTTTTTTAACTCCTCTGCCCTGTGAAATGACTGCATTCATTTTGCCTCTTCCTCTACTAAAATGGGTGCTGAGTGAGATCAGGGGATGTTATGGTTTGAATCTAAAATAGCCCCAGATGATGCAGTTGAAGCATTTTGAGATGAGATCAGTCGTGTCCAGGTATGACCATCTACCGCTGAAACATTTTGAATTTGAGACACACCTACCCCAAAGCTATTACAGAGCAGGAGACTTCAGATCTTGTTTTATGCGGGTGTGAATTTTAAAACTAAAAATCTGCTGACATTTAAATTCCATCATTTTCATAATGGAAGAACCACATTTTAACACAGTTACTCAGAAATTAATCATTTTACAATAATCCTCATACCCAGCTACCTTTTTGTCCCCTATTAATATTTATATACCTAAAATTGTTTTCGTTAGTTTGCCTGTATGGCTGTCAAAAGCAATAGCTTGATGGTGGGCATTGAAGTTTAAGCTTAAGAACTTAAATAATAAATAAAAACAAGTACCTTAGAGCTATGGAGGCAGAAGCCTTGGGATTTTGCAGATAAACAGCAGCAGTGGGCTAAAGAGAAAGTGAAGTTTTAATCTCCACACCCTTTTTCCTGACTTCTTTCAGACATTGTACTCCACAAATAACCTCATTTATCTGTTACTTGCCTTGCTCAATTGTGGCTAAATTTTAGCCATTGTTATTGTATATTGTGAGTGTGTGAACATCTGTGTGCGTTGGGGGCGGGGGTTCTGTGTATGGCCTGTGCACACATGTGCATATGGTCAGTTGTCCTGCTAGATCATTCTCTGTCATTCCCTTGAGACGGGGTCTCTCACTGAACCTGGAGTTAGGCTGGCAAACCCCAGGCAACCTGTGGGATGTTTGCTTCACCATACACTGGGGTTCTAGGCACACCCACATCCACGCCCACACCCAACATTGGACAAGATGCTGGGCATTTGGAGGTATGTTCTTCTGTCTACCCAGCTTTCACTCTTACGCACTGAGCCACCTCCCCAGCCTGCCATTATTATTTGTGAAGTGCCATTTCCCCTGATTAGAAAATGATCATTTTTTCCATAGTAGAAAAAAGGGGAGAACACAGAAAAAAATGTCAAGAGAATCAAAACAACTAGAGAACAAGTGTTGCAGTTTTATTCTTATTTATGTTTTCAATGTATTCTCTCACAGAAAATTATATTTATCTTTATAAATGGACCTTATTGAAGATGCTGAGTTCAGTGTCGTTTTTCAGCATTTTCCTCTGCTTAATTCTGGCATGAAGATGATCTTCTTGGAGACTGTTAAAGGACCTTGGAAGGGTGATAGTGCAGGGAGCAGACCCACACACCAAGGGCTGCTGTGGGTGAGGTCAGGTGGCAGATAGACCTGGACCAAGAAAGACGGGCACTGTTCACCTCATGTTGTCACTGAGGCCTTGCAACCCGTGTACGCATGAGGAGCTGAGAAAGGAGTTTTGGCTCCTTGGGTCTGCAGATGTGCTCACCTTCGTTCTGCCCGACGCTTCCGTCCTCCAGGTCAGAGATAATGAGGACTTGCATGCTCCTCAACACAGAATTTTCTCTTCTTCCTTTTTGTTATTTCCCTTTTTTTGAGATTATGATATAATTGCATCATTTCTCTGTTCTGTTTTCTCACTCCAAAGCCTCTGTGTACTCCTCCTTACTCTCTTCCAAATTCAATTCATGGCCCTTTTTTTCATTAATTGTTTTCTCTCTCTTCTCTCTCTCTCTCTCTCTCTCTCTTCTCTCTCTCTCTCTCTCTCTCTCTCTCTGTCTCTCATACACACACACAGAGTATGAGAGAGAGAGAGAGAGAGAGAGAGAGAGAGAGAGAGAGAGAGAGAGAGAGAGAGAGAGAGAATGTGTGTGTCTGTATGGGTAAATACAGCCTGCTCAGTCTGTATAAGGTTACTTGCATGTGTGTTTTCAGGGTTGGCTCTATAGGTATATGGAGCTATGCCCAGCTCTTTACATGGGTTCTGGGGATTGGAATT